TTAACAGAAGGCATGAATGGTGAAGAAATGAAATTGGTCAATATAAACAATTGTAAGAGTTTGCAAGAAAAGGAGAGATATAAAGTGATATTAAGGAACAGCCCTATCAAGGGAGGGTGTTTATGTCATCATAAATCTCGGACCTTGGGTGACCGTGCTTGCCTCATTGACATCACAGTCAGGATTATTATTATTATTATTTTTAAATTCTCCTATGATGAAGCTTTACTATGAAATGGTTTCTTTTTTTTTTAATTTTTTTTATTTATTTATTTGTGATAGTCACACACACACAGAGAGAGAGAGAGGCAGAGACATAGGCAGAGGGAGAAGCAGGCTCCATGCACCGGGAGCCTGACGTGGGATTCGATCCCAGGTCTCCAGGATCGCGCCCTGGGCCAAAGGCAGGCGCTAAACCACTGCGCCACCCAGGGATCCCAGGATTATTTGTTGAGGAGACATGTGGGGTGAGTGCTAGGGTGGTAGTCCCCAAAATCTTGTCCCCAGACCATCAACACCATCTGGGAACTTGTCAGAGATGCAAATCTTCAGGCCACACCTCAGACCAACTGAGTCAGAATCTCTGGGGGATGGGGCTCAGTAGCCTGCATGTTAACAAGCCTGGCAGTTGATTCTGATGTATGCTCAAGTTGGAAAACTAGAACTACCGTGCCAGGGAATTGTTTATACAATACCTATCTGTATATGTGCCTCTGCAGTTAAACTCTTTGAGGTTTTTTCTGTCAGGAAATGTTTCCCACTTTGCTCTTCATCGCTCATTGTAGCCAAGTGCACCTGTGGGCTCAGGTAGACTCACATGCTGAGGCACTTCTGGTCCTGAGGAAGGGGTATAGAGCTACAGGCAGACTAGAAAGTCCTTGGTGTAGCACCTTTGTTTCTATTCTGGCGAGGCTGGCTACCTGTATTTCTTTCTTTCCTGCCCAGGCTCTTCTTGAGCTCACAGACAAAGATCTGTTAATGAAAGTTCAAAATATGTAAGTCTATACTCCTTAGCATGGAAGGCCAAGCCTTCTCTACCCTCATGTCTGCGTACCTCTTGAGCCTTCTCCCCACCTTGATATCCTAAGGGGGAGACCTCTTTTATTTAGCAAGAAGCCTGTGGAAGGAAACTAAGAAAAATTCTTACAGAGTTCTAGCACCATTGGATTAGCTCACAGACCTTTATTATCTGCCTACTATATGCCAAGAAGGGTCCTAAGGACTGGGATGAAAAAGATACTTTACAAGGGAGTATAACATTTTCTGCAAGAGACATTTAAAAACAAGAACAAACCAAATATTGATTGATTTTTAAAGATTTTATTTATTTATTTATTTATTCATGAAAGACACACACACACAGAGGCAGAGACACAGGCAGAGGGAGAAGCAGGCTCCCTGCAGGGACCCTGATGCAGGACTTGATCCCAGGACCCCAGGATCACGCCCAGAGCTGAAGACAGATGCTCAACTACTGAGCCACCCAGACGCCCCCAAACCAAAGATTTAAATAGAGTGAAGTTCAATGCTATGACAAAGGTCTGTATGCGGTGATGTGGAAGCACGAGGAAAGGATATTTAGATCAGGGGAAGTCTCCTGGAGAAATTAATATCTGTTCTTCAGAACACAGTCTTGAAGAAAAAATATGAAGTAGCTGAGAGAAAAAGAGGGAGCTATATGTTTCTGGCGAAAGGAATAGCATAAGCAAAGACGGGGGTTTCTAACAGGACAGCGAATACTGGGACTAGAGATTCTCAGAAGACAGCATTGGAGAGACGCACATTAGGAGCTGGAGAGGGAATTATAGGGTGACCATCTGTCTGGATTTACCCAGAGTGATCCCAGTTTTAGTGCTGAAAGTCCCCTGTCCCTCAATTCTAGACAAACCAGGATGCTTGGTCACACTCAGATGCAAGCCAGGGTGCAGAAGGTCAAATGTACCTTGAAAAGAAGTACATACTTGATCCATCAGGATGTCACTGAGGTGCCAGGATATATTTGGGAAAATCTTCCATGGCTCCATTAACAAGAATAGAAGCCCAGTGGGCTGATTCTGCACAAGAGAAGGGAAGGCAAAGTCGAGCCTCCTGGCTTTTGCTGTCCTATAAAAAAAGTGTTGTTAAAGAGGGAGGAAGGAAAGGCAAGGAGGGAGGGTAAGACTTGAAGTCTGGAGTTCTGTGTTCATTGTTTCCACTTACTCACACATTCTGTAAGCTTCAGCTTCCACATCTGTGAAATGGGATAATACCTACCTCCTGGCTTTGTTTTGATGATCAAACAACAGAGTGCATATGAAAAAGCTTTGTAAACTATAAAGCACTGTATGGGTATTACTAATAGGAGTCCTATCAAACTCAGAATATATCCAACCACATCAATCTAGAGGGTGTAATTTGGGTTGTAATTGCATCACATTGCTGTTTGCTTTTTACCAGCACTGTCATCATTAAAACTGCTGTATGTCAGCTGGCTTCAGTGGGGTTGAGGGTGGCTGCGGAGAAGTGCCAAGGGAAAGACAGTCCACATTCTTCTCTTCCCTTATACCAGAAACATCCAAACTGAGCAAAATGGGATTAAGGGTGCAGGAATAGAAAGGAATGGAAGCGATTTGTTCTAGATCAGAAAACGCCATTCTAAGGGTTGATATCAAATCAGATCATGCTTTGTCAATGGCCTTTTAATAATTCTCTTTTGCCTACGGGACTCACCCTTGTTGATCAGGCCCCTGCTTACCTCTCCAGGCTATCTTTAGTCCTTCCTCCATATGCTACTTTGCAACCACAACAAATTGCTAGCCATGGTGAAATTTGTCTTGGTCTCATCTTACCTATACCCTCCTTTTGCTGAGTTCCCTCCTTAGGCTTCCAGGAGGGGCTCAGATACTACTTCCAATGTGAAGTTAGCATCTACTTGGGCTTCCCCAGGCAAAAACCAGGCATCAGTGAGCCCGAAGCACCTTGGGCGCTTTTCTAGAATGGAGGGTGTGTAATGCTGTGTCTCAGATAAGAACATTGGGTTTTCAGTCACACTCTGGCTTTTATGCCCAGATGGGCCATTTAGTTCTTGGGCAAGGCATAAGAGAAGCACTGGAGTGGATTGTGAAGAGCATAGATTCTGGAACCAGACAACCTGGCTGTGGAAACTTGGAGGAAGCTCTTGGTCCCTAAGTATCACATATGTCAAAAGGGGGTAAGGAGATTAGTACCCATAAGATAAAATGAGTTATTATATTAGAAACACTGAGAAGAGTGCCTGGCATATACTCATTAGGTCTTGTTATTAATCTCACAGTTTCTTCTTTTGTGAAATGGGAAGAGCACTCACCAGAGAAGGCTCATATAAGAATTACTCAGGATAAACAGAAGTGTTTGGCATAGAGAAGGTTCATGATAAATCTTTTACTTGCTCTTTTAGCTCTTGCCCTTTGTATTACACATTTTTCACTTCAGGATGTTTTCACCACTAAAAACTCTTAGGTTCTCCAGAAAAGAGAGACAGTCATCCATCTTAGTGTCCTTAGTGTCTGGCAGATACTAGGTGCTCAAGAAATACTTGGCAAATGAATTGATAAAAATACAGTCCTGGGAAAACTCAAAATGGCCTTAACTTGCCTCTTAGCAATATCCCAAAAGGCCACAAAATAGGAATTTAATCCCTAAGAGTCTGTAGTTTTGTAAATCTGTGTGTAAGTCACAGCTTGATAATTAGTTTTTGTTTTTGTGTTTTGTGTTTGTGTTTCTTGGTTATTGTTGTTTTCTTCCCTTAGCCTTCTCTCTTCCCTGTTTTCATCTTGGGTAGGGTTTCTCATTCCTGGCACTAACAATTCTTTGTTTTGAGACTATCCTGTGATTGTAGGCTGTTTAACAACATCCCTGGCCTATATACTCTACCCGCAAGATGCCAGTAGCATCTCCCACTCCTAGTTTTGACAACCTAGTATGTCTCTAGACATTGCCAAGAATCTGGGAGAGGGGGCAAAATCCACCCTCATTCCCCACCATTGAAAACCACTAGCCTAGGGAATCTGCTTAAACATTTTCAGATAAACTAAATTTTGGTAAGGACTGATTTTTTTCCCCCTCTTTCTCCAAGGCAAAAATTTGGTTCATATGCCTCCAAACTGAATAGATTCTGACAATGGTGAAGGAAAAGGAATTCCTCCTTTCCTGACTGTAGTGTTCCTCTACATCCTCATTCTCAGAAATAGCAAGGTTGGGGGTGGGGGTGGGGGGTTAGAACCACGTTTTATTTATCTAGACCCAAAATAGCAATTGCATATTTCTTTTATTTCATTTTGTGGGAAAACTAAAAGAATGCAGTGTTTTACAATTCAAATTAAAGCTAAAAACTCATCAAGCTGTCTGATTTTCTGGGAGTGAGAAGTGGAGGGGGGGAGGCTTTTAATATGGCATATCTGCATGAAAACTTTTCAACACCAGAAAAACTTTTTACAGCATGAAAAATGTGTATGTTGAGAAAGAACATGAATGCTAAAAACACACTGTTACTATAAATTTCGAATCTCAGACACAATTCACAATGCTGCTTTACTAATAGTGTAGTTTTAAACCTATTTAAGCTGGGAAATTTGTTATCAGGTGACTCATACATGTGGGGAAATCCAGCTCATCTGTGCCAAAGATGAAAGAAAGCGATTAGGTGTTTAAATGTTAAGATTCCATTCAGTCTTGTGAATGAACTGCAGTAATCTTGGATGAGAAGAAGAGAAAGGGCAGTTATTCATCAAGTTGAAAAATGTTAAAGGGCCCTGTGGATTTAAATAATAAAACTTTATATTTATAACACATTTATCTTCCAAATACCATAAGTATGTTTATTTCTTTTTTATTTCGGAACATTCACAAAGTTAAAAAAAAAAAAAGTTAAGTACAGTACAAAGAACTTTTTGTCCTTAACCATTTGGGAGTGAGTACAGACCTGAGGCCCCATTATCCACAAATACTTTTTCCTACAAACAAGGATTCTGTCAGACAATTAACACTGATGTACGACTACCATCCAGTCCTCAGACTCTACTCCAATTCTGCTGGCTGTCTCAGTGACATGTTTTCCAGCGACGGGATCTAGTTCAGAATCATACACTGCATTGACTAGTCTCCCCCAGCCTGGAGAAGTTCCTCGGTCTTTCTTTGTCTTTCATGACCTTGACAGTTTTGAAGAAGATGGGTTAGTTATCTTGTAACTCGTCCCTTAATTTGGGGTTTGCTGGTGTTTACTTATGATTATATTCAGGTTATACAACCTTGGCAGGAATATCATAGAAGTGATATTGCTTTTATCTCGTTATATCCTGTCATGTGGCACATGATTTCAATCTATCCCATTACTAATGATGTTCACTTTGATTCCTTGCTTAAGGTAGTATCTGCCAGGCATATCCTCTATGAACATATTCTTTTTACTACTGAAACCATGTAAACATCCCACTCCTCATCGAACTTTTGATGTACTCCTTTATTTATGTCTTCCTACTTGTAATTTTCTGTTTTGTTTAATGGGTGATAATCTTTTACTGTCATTTAAAATTTTGATGCTCACATTATCCCTGACTTGGCCAGTAGAAGGCCCTTCAAGTTGGCTCCTATGTCCTTTTGACACCTTCATATCATTCCTTGAGCCTTGCCTTGCTCTGACACAGCAAGGGGTTCCAGACTCATACTTTCCCTGCCCCAGATGTGGGATCAGTCATTTCTCTAAGGAGCCCTGGTTCCTCTCAAAGAAAATGTTATTTAGAAGCTAAGGTCTTGACACTAGCTGTGCTCATTGATGTTTTGGTGTCACTGCCCCTAAGCAAGCTGTGGTGCTTATAAATATGTGTCACTCAGAGCTCCTGCTATGGGGAACATAAATGACTGACAGCCCTAACTCTTGCTCCCTGGATCTACCACCCTGTTTGCACTGGGGCCATACTTCCCAAGAGTTATTCCCAGTCAATGCTTAAGTACAGCAGGCTCAGTGGGCCCATTCTGGCAAGACATAGGAATTCGTCAATGGGCAACTTTGACTTGGGAATTCTCCATCTACTTAGTAAATCCATTCTTGGAACTGTGCTGTGTTAAGACTTTTCCTACTCCAATCCTTTCTACCTTGTCTCCTTCCACAAATGTCAGAATACATCTCAGTCTGAAGGATCTCTCTCCTTTCTTGTTTCTTACTTTTATTAGTTACCCATCACTGTGTAGCAATCACCCCCAAAGTATATTAGCTTAAAACAAAATAAATATTTATTATTTCACAGTTTTTTGTAGGTCAGGAGTTTAAGAGCAGATCAGGTGGTATGGAATTTCTCATGATGTTGTTGTCAAGATGTCATCCACAGCATAGTCATTTGATGGCTTGACTGACCCTGGAGGATCTATTTCCAAGATGGCTCACTTGACTGTTGGCAGGAGGTCTCAGGTCATCACCACTGGGACCACTCCATAGGGCAACTTGAGTGTCCTTGTGACATGACAACTGATTTTTTTTTAAATTTTTATTTATTTATGATAGTCACAGAGAGAGAGAGAGAGGCAGAGACACAGGCAGAGGGAGAAGCAGGCTCCATGCACCGGAAGCCCGATGTGGGATTCGATCCCGGGTCTCCAGGATCGCGCCCTGGGCCAAAGGCAGGCGCCAAACCGCTGCGCCACCCAGGGATCCCGACAACTGATTTTTTCATTATAGCAAGTCCTCTGAGAGAAGAAAGCAGAAGCCATTGTTAAAAAAAAAAGACAATAGGTCCAAAATGGAATCACTTAAACTGAGCCCCCTGTCAACAACTGAGACTTAATTACAGTTTTGGCCTGCCCCAGAAATGGAATCTTAAACCAATCTATCAGGAATCACCTGGTCAGCACTAGTGAGGTAATCTGCCTGGTAGACCCTTGCCATTCCCTGAAGGAAAGTAACTGCGACAATGAATCCACTTTTTGCAGTATTAACTTTCTTGTCCCATGCGCTTCTGCCTATAAAAGTCTTCCATTTTGTACAGTTCCTTGGAGCTCCTTCTATCTGCTAGATGGGTTGCTACCCAATTCATGAATTATTGACTAAAGCCGATAAATCTTTAAAATTTACCCAGTTGAATTTTGTTTTTAAATACCACCAAATCTTTCATTGTCTCATCTTAAATTCACACTGTGTCATTGCAGCAATAGGTCAACTTTATTCAGTGTAGGAGGGGATTTCACAAGGATGTGACTGCCAAAAAGTGAGAATCTTTGGGGGCCACCTGGAGGCTGTTACACTCCAATATATCGCTTGCACATCTACTCTGTCTTGGTGACTCCTTCTCAATAAACGGATGGACACATCTGCTTGGTGGAGAGAGGTAGGGAAAGTCACCCACGTGTGCAAGCACACAGTCCCATACACATTTACAGTTATGTTTGTTTCTATATCTATCCACATATATTGAAAACCATGAATGCATTTCAATATATCCGGTACCAATATAGAATCACAGGGTCTGTTCTAGTTTTATCTGTTTCTGTATTTGCAATTCCTTTGTATGCATTGAGATTCCCCAGACAAGTAGATTCATCTGTTTTATCAAATATGGGAAGTTTGGGGGCAGCCCGGGTGGCTCAGCTGTTTAGCGCTGCCTTCAGCCCAGGGCATGATCCTGGAGACCGAGGATTGAGTCCCACGTCGGGCTTCCTGCATGGAGCCTGCCTCTCTCTCTCTCCAATCTGTATTCTCATGAATAAATAAATAAAATCTTTAAAAAAAAATGGGAAGTTTGGGGCTCTTATTTTTTCAAATATTCTTTCTGCCCTTTGTCTTTCTCACTGGGAACCCAGGCTGTCGCCTTCTACACTGATGCTGCACCATGGAAGGAGGGGCAGGTGAGTGTAAGTTAAAACACGACAAACCTCTTCCACCACATTTCAGTGCTGCTTCTCTGGATTAAGCATTCCTTTGGTTGCTGTAAATCTTTGTCTTCTGGAGCTCTGATAAAGGTGATTCTGATAGTTTTTGCCAGTTTTCTTTCCATTGTTTATGGGAAGAGACAGGCCTTCAATTTTCCTACTCCACCATTTTTTTTTCTTAAAGATTTTAATTATTTATTCATGAGAGACACATAGAGAGAGAGAGAGGCAGAGACACAGGCAGAGGGAGAAGCAGGATCCCTGCAGGGAACCTGCTGCAGGACTCGATTCCGAGACCCCAGGATCACGCCCTGAGCCAATGGCAGACACTCAACCACTGGGCCACAACCACTTGAGGTTGTGATCTCAAGGTTGTGAGTTCAAGTCCCATCCCACCATTTTCTTTGACATTGGCGCCAGCATATTGCCCATATATTTGTAACTCCTTATCCAACAGAAACCCAGCTTCCAGTGTCCTTAATTCCTTATTTGATTAATCTCTCTGGATATAACCGGTATTCTGATCCCACTATCATTCCTTTCCCTGCATGGACCCCCTCCTCTCTGCTCTGGATCTGATTCCCTGAGACAGAGTACCCTCTACTGCAGATGTCCTTTCATCCCTCTGGAGCTAACCTGAATACTTTAGTGCACAGTGTTTTCATTTATTGTTCATTAAAACATTTTTATTAGATTTCACTGGGGGCTTATACAGCCAATGATGAAATAAGAAACAAATATTATTAGAAGCAAAGTATACTTCTTTTCAAATTGTAACTATAATTAGGTATCCCATGCAATACCCTCATGCTGTAGACAGTAGGGTGTGTGTGTGTGTGACTATTATTCTCATTCAAAGATGGAAAAATAGAGGCAAGGTGGCAAGGTCACACTTATGGTATCCACCAAATTTGCAGTAGGCAGTTACAGCCTCTCCAATGTTAGGGAACTCTATAATATGTCCTTTGTCACCTCCCTCGTCAAGCATCAGCAGCTCTTCTAAGTCTTCATCACTTTCCTGAAGCCCCTCACTGTATTCTTTTTTTTTTTTAAAGATGTTCTTTATTTTTTCATGCGAGACACAGAGAGAGACAGAGGCAGAGACAGAGGCAGAGACACAGGCAGAGGGAGAATCAGGCTCCATGCAAGGAGCCCGACGTGGGACTCCATCCTGGGAGTCCAGGATCACTCCCTGGGCCGAAGGCAGGCGCTAAACCGCTGGGCCACTCAGGGATCTCCCCTCACTGTATTCTTTCTTACTTCACTCTGAACAGATTAACTTTGCTTTTTGATTACAGTGGTCCCCTTAATCATGGGGGATACATTCCAAACCCCCCAGTGGATGCCTGAAACCATGGATACTACTGAATCTTATACATATTATGTTTTTTCCTAAACATACACAAGATAAGGTTTAACATAGATAAAGCTAAGAGATCAACAACAACCATAATGAAGTGGAACAGAGGCTCCTGGCTAGCTCAGTAGGTGGGGCATGCGACTCTTGATCTCAAGGTTGTGAATTCAAGCCTCACATCAGGCATAGAGCTTATTTTTTTTTTTTTTAAGATTTTTATTTTTTTATTTACTCATGAGAGACAGAGAGAGAGAGAGGCAGAGACACAGGCAGAGGGAGAAGCAGGCTCCATGCACCGGGAGCCTGACGTGGGATTCGATCCCGGGTCTCCAGGATCGCGCCCTGGGCCAAAGGCAGGCGCCAAACCGCTGCGCCACCCAGGGATCCCCATAGAGCTTATTTAAAAAAATAAATTCAGGGTGCTGGGTGGTTCAGTTAGTTAAGTGCGGACTCTTGATTTCGGTTCAGGTCTTGCTCTCAGGGTTGTGAGATCGGAGCCCTGTGTTGGGCTCTGCACTCGGTGGGAAGTCTGTTTGAAATTCTTTCTCTCCTTTCCCTCTGCCCCTCCCCCCACCCATGCTCTCTAAATAAACAAGTAAAAGCTTTAAAAATATAAAAATAAAATGGAACAATTGTAACAATATACTGCAAAGAAGTTATGTGAATGTCTTCTTTCTATCCTTAAACACCTTATTGCACTGTTCCTCTTGTGATGATGTGAGATAAAATGTCTACGTGATGAGAAGAAGTGAGGTTAATGACGTAAGCATTATGACATAACACTAGGCTATTCCTGACCTTCTGACGATAGGAGCTGGGTTGGCTGTAGGTAACTGAAACCGCAGAAAGTAAAACTGCAGATAAGGGAGATGACTGTATTAAGAAAATAAAGGCAATCAAATGTAATTTTTTTAAGTTTTTGTCTCCATTATCCCATTCCCCCCCAAATCTATCACTATAAGGGGCAGATTCGGGTTCTGTGGTGCTTGAGCACATACAATTGGAAAAGGAGGAATTTAAAAAAAAAAACACAAAAATTTACCTTTGCAAATTTTATAAAAACATATGACCATGTTGTATCATTGCCATGGTCCCTCCTAGGACTTCTGGAAGAAACCTGTGGAAGTAGCGGTAGAGAAATGGAGCTGGAATTTCAGCAGCTTTTCATAGGTACTGTCATTCTCCCTCATCCAGAAGTGGTGGTCCTTCTCCTGCCATCCAAGGCCAATCTATCCAGCACTCTCCCTCTCTCCTCTTCTCTCCCTTCCCCCCTCCTTCATTCCTTCTTTTGCTAAACAGAAATCCTACCACACACAACATACTATTCTCTTTCTCTTCAATTGACAGTATATCATGGCAACACTTGTAAATTAATACATATAAGTCTATATGATTCTTTTTAAGAGCTGTATGTTTCCACAATGAGGCTATATATATAGTATATATAGTATATAGTGTATATATGTATATATACACTATTTTTTACTCACCTATTCCCTATTGAAATGTGTTCAGGTTTTTAAAAATTAGATTGAATCATATAAAATTACCATATTAGTAGGCTTGTTTTTTTTTTTACTTTGTTCATTTTCTTTCTTTTTTTTTTTTTAGATTTATTTATTGATGTTTCAGCAAGAGTGAGGAAGAGACAAAGGAGAGGGAGAGGGAGAATCTCAAGCAGACTCCCTGCTGAGCACAGAACCTGACATGGGGCTGGATCCCATGACTATCATGACCTGAGCCGAAATCAAGCATTGGATGCTTAACTGACTAAGCTACCAGGCTCCCCTGTTTTGCTCATTTTCTATTACAATGTTATAGTAAATATGTATGTACATATATCTCCATAAACTTTTGTTTCTGTGGATAAATTCCAAGAGATCGGATGCTAGCTTAAAAGGTGTGTGTATTTTACTCCTAGACTGCATCTCTAAAATATTGGCATAATTTATGCTTCCATCAATGACCTTTTTGGAAGTTATAGGTCACAGTGTCCTCATTTCAGTGCTTCTAATAGCAGATTTCTCCACTATATGCTGTATTTGCCATTATTTTTTTAAAAATATTTTATTTATTTGAGAGAGAGAGAACAGACAGAGGAGCAGAGGGAGAGGGAGATAATCTCCAACAGGCCCTCCACTGAGTAAGTATGGAGCCCAACTTGGGGCTCGATCCCATGACCCTAGCTGAAACCAAGAGTCAGATGCTCAATTGCCTGAGCCACCCAAGTGCCCCTGTATTTGCCACTATTGACAATACTTTCTCTTGCCACAGCACTTGGAACTAGTTTTCCACTTGTCCCCTTTCAGTTTTTGTTTCTAGCTTCTTTCTCCATTTGTTCCTAGATACTTGTATTCCATATGAATCTGCTCTCTCTCACTTTTCTAGTCATACTAAGTGCTCCATTCTCCCCTTAGGTAAGGTTATGGCTTCAGCTATAATCTCTACCCTCAGCGCACTGGGAGGTGACCCAAAGTTGCCTTCACCTGAATTAGAAAATACCTTCCTTTTTTGATGTCTTACTGTCATCATCCAGAAAACTGTGGTAATAATTATTCGATCACTCTTCAATATTCTACAGTACATTTCTGGATTGTGTGGTATGCAGGCTCTACAATAATCACAAAACAGCTTTCCATTTCTCTCCTGAGTCCAAATTTCTACATTAAAACTGTGTACTGGATATCTCCAGCTGGATGTTTGTTACAGGTAGGACCAATATAATAGACCCATTGTTTAACTTGTCATCACCTCTTTTGAAATCCTCCTTATTTATGCATTTATTTTCTTAGTAAATGAGACTCTCATTTACTTGGGTGCATAACTTAGAAACCTGGAACTTCATCCTAGACTACTTATTACACTCTTCCTCTCTATCATCTCACATCTGATAGGTTACCAAGTCCTGTGGTTTCCACCCCATATTCCTCAAATCCATGACTGATCTCTTTTCAATTCCCAGTGTTGCTGTCCTGACCATCTCTTTCACAGAACTAAAATAACTTCCTCTTTGGTCTTCCTACTTTTCGTCTTGCCTGTCTTCTATTATCCACACTGCAGTCAGAGAAATTATTTAACATGCAAATCAATTCTCTACCATGACAAAAATGCTTCAATGTCCATGCTGGCAATAGGCTGAAATCTAAACTTCTAAGCATGACTTAAAAAGCTATTTATTGTCCAATATCTACTTAATAGTCTGCCTCATTTTCTGACATTCTCTAAAAGCACCCTATGTCTCAGCTATATGGATCTACTTCCAAATCTCCAACATGCCAAGCTCTCTAATAATTCAGTGTCTTTGCACCTGCTACCCTTCTGCTTGGAATTCCTTGTAGTCTTTTGGCCTGACAAACTCCTACTTAAATTTCAAGCCTCAGCTCTAGGGTTATTTTCCTTTTTTAAATCTCTGCAGGCAGTCAAACATTTCAGGCAGATGAACACTTGAGTTCTTTATTGATATGCTATCCACCTGCACCATAACAATCTTAACATTTTAATTGTTTTTTCAGTTAAGTGTTTCTGAATTAAGTTGTAAGCGTCTTGAGGGTAGGGACCATGATTATGCTCATCTTTGCATCCCCAGCACTTAACACAGGGACTAGCATTGAATATTTGATAGGCACTTGAACAAATGCAAAACTAAATTCATTGACTAGTGAGAATAATGTGCAGGCTAGGGTTTAACCTTAAGCTACAGCTTTTCACTTAAGTACCTTTAAAAAATTGGAAAAAATAGGGCAGCCTGGGTGGCTCAGCGGTTTAGTGCTGCCTTCAGCCCAGGGCCTGATCCTGGAGATCTGGGATAGAGTCCTATGTTGGGCTCCCTGCATAGAGCCTGCTTCTCCCTCTACCTGTGTCTCTGTCTCTGTCTCTCTCTCTGTGCCTCTCCTGAATAAATAAATAAATCTTTAAAAAAAAAATTGGAAAAAATATAGAATATATTAATGGAAATTTAAGAACAAAAGTAATCTCATATTATTTTGCCATCCTAATGCCTGTTTCAATGCACTTACTATTTACTTCTGGTCTTTGCTCAAATATGTGGTAAATAAAAAATATATGTATTTAACTAAATTGTACATGCACTTTCTTACGTCTTTAACTGTAAACATTTTCTAACGCTATTTGCAAAGTCATCTAAACTATCATTTTTAACAATGCGTAATACTTCATTCCCTTAGTTATGTTAACAGCCTGAAGAGATTAGTTTTTTTAAAAAAGAGATTAGGTTTACTGGGTTTCCTATTATAAATAGGAATAGATCCAGGTTTTGTGGGTCTTGAAATTTATACATTTTTGAAAGATGTTTTCAGAAGAATACAAAATTATCTTACTTTTGCAAGCAATGTGAACACATTGTTAGGGCTCCTGTTGGAAGGGGCCTGTGAAAGTGAGGTGTCCTGAAGGTTAATATTCATTAGCTTCGTGGTGCTCCATCTTCAGTTATCCTGCAATAAGCATTTTGAGAATGTGATTTCCACCCCCCCCCCATTATTTTCCAAGGACTCCAAGTTCTTATGACACTGTTCACCTTAAAGAAGTTGAGAAAGGAAATGATCATTCATTGAGCACCTATTGTAAATTGAGCAGTTTATATAATATTTAATTTCATCCTTACTACAAGCCTGAAGAAGAAATGAGCCCCATTTTACAGATGAGAAAACTAAGGTGCAGTGCATTTAAATATCACACTCAAAGCCACATGTCTTGTAACTGATGGGGTTTGGATATTCACTGTCTCAGTCCAAAGCTCATGTCTTCTTTTCTCCACTACATCATGGTGTCTCCATAGCCTCACTAGCTACATGGTAATATTTTCTAGGTTTTTGCTGAAAAACCTGGTTCTCAGTTATTTGTTTTGAGGAGGTCAGAAGACAAAACTTACAGTCTTGACAGGGTTCTTGGAGGAAGGTGTTTAAATCAGTGGTGGCTAGACTTTCTCAAGTGAATTTAGGAGAAAGTGACTTGGCTATTTCTGCTGTCTGCTTATAGACATGTATCACCTTGGTTCAGCATGCCTTTCTTGGAAGAAGCGTCATCTGAATTGGAAAGACCTGGGCTGGGTTCGAGTCCTGTTATTCAGTACCTGAGCGGCCTTGGTAAATCCCAGAACCCCTCAGTTCCTTCCTCTGTGTAAAGGAACAAAACCTGCCTCACTCCAGGCTAGTTTTGAGCGTCCAATGAGCTTCCAATGCGATGCTGTGTGTACAAGCACATAGTGAACTCCAACGTCACTGAGGTACAATACAGCCCCCATATCTGACCTTTTGCTTTCTGCAGTTTCATTTACCCGAGGTCAACCACAGTTGGGAAGTAGCTGATTCTCCTGACTGTTGTCAAAAAAGATCAATAGTAGCCTAAGGCTACATCACAATGCTGCATCGTTTAACCTCACTTCATCTCTCACAGAGACATTTTTATCATTTCACATAATCTCAAGAAGTGTGAGTACAGTACAATAAGACAGTTTGAGAGACCACATTCACATAACTTCTGTTGTAGCATATTGCTGTAATTGTTTTTTATTGTTAGTCATTGTTGGTAATCTCTTACTCTGCCTAATTTATAAGTCAAACTCTATTCTTAGGTATGTATGTTTAGGTAAAAAAAAAAAAAACAGTATATACGGGGTTGGGTACTATCCATGGTTTCAGGCATCCACTGGGGGTTTGGGAGGCATCCCCTTGCAGATAAGAGAAGCCTGCTATATTAGTAACCTTGTGAGAGTTGCTCCACTGTCCCCGCCCATCTGCCTCCAGGTAAGGGCCTGTGACAGCTGGACAGAATGCACCTGATGGCTCCATTATAGTTAACTCCGGCTTGAGTTCCCTCCTAGGCTGAAGCTGCCACTTCTTTTCAAGGGAGTCTATGGGCTGTTGCATCTGGTAGCCCAGTGCATCCAAAGCAGCAGAGGCCGTGCAAAACCAGTCTGAGATTCAGGTGAATCTTTTTCCTCCTCAAGCTGCGAGCTGATAAAAAAAAAAAAAAAAAAAAAAAAAAAGCCAAACACTCCTCTATAAATCGCAACTTGTTAAAACCCCCAACGCAGTCCTTACCAAGTGTCCCTTTGCTCTGTCTTAGGTGCTGACGCATTTATCTTGGGATTTTTATCTGCCAGTTTAGAAAATCGTTGGTCCTCGCCGGCCCTAATTCTGGGGACGGTCTGTAATTCTGCAAAGGCAGGAGGAAATGAAAAATCTCCGCTCGGAGTTGGCGGTTGACCATCCGTCACCATGTCACGTTTAAAGCTGGTGGAAGCAGCATTAGCCTTTATTTTTCGTAAAAGAAAAACGCTCAAGCCCGTTTCCAAGCTCGAGAAAGGAGCTGGCTCAGCGCCCCGGGTCGGGACTCGCGCGGCGCGCAGACCCGGGCCTGCAGCTCCCACGCCCCCCCCCCTCCCCCCCCCGCGACCCAGGTGTCAGCCGGCGGCGGCCCGGACCTCCACCTGGCTCGGCCGGCGGCGCCCGCACAAAGAGCGGAGCAGGCGGCGGCCCGGCCGAGCCGCAGAAAGTAGTCCCGACCACGCCGGGCCGAGGTTGTTCGACGTCGCTTCACGCCCTCCGCGGGGAGGGCCGCGGCGGCCGGCCCAGGAAAGAATCCCATAGGAATGCGCCGGCGGGAGGCCTTTCCCCTCAGGCTCGCCTCCGCTGGCCGAGCGGGCCTCCCGGGGTCTCCCAGCCGAGGCCGTGCGCGCCGTCCCCCGCTTTCTTTCGTGGCGGCCCGGGAGGCGGTGCCGAGGGAGGGGCTCGCCCGCGCGCAGGGAGACCTTCGCGGCGACCCGTGGCGGCGGCGGCGGCGGCGGCGGCGGCGGCGGGCCCGCGGTATCCCTGCGCCGCTGCGTGAGAGGAAGAGGCTGAATGAGGAGCTGCGCGGGGGAAGCGGGGCGCCGGGGGAGGAGGCGGCGGGATGGAAGCAGACGCTGGCGTCGCGCGAGCCCCCGGCAGAGCGGCGCGGTAGAGAGGGCGGCGGCGGCGGCGGCGGCGGCGGCGGCGGCGGCGCGCGCGGAGCCCTGACGTGCCCCTTTCTTTCTTCTCTCTCTGGAAAGCTGGGAAGCATGAGCGTGCAGACCTGCCGCTGCGGCGGCCGCCCCGGCTCCTCGCCTCCCCCCGCCCTGGCCGCCCCTCGCCGGTGAGAGAAGAGAACGCGAGAAGGGAAGATGGGGGCCGTCCTGAGGAGCCTCCTGGCCTGCAGTTTCTGTGCGCTCCTGAGAGGTGGGAAGGGGGGGTCGCCGAAGTTGGTGGGGTCTGGGGGGGAGGTGGCCTTGTTTTGTGCGTGACTGGGGGGAGGCGGAGGGCGGGAGGAGAAGGGGAAGAGGAGCCAGGGGAGGCCTGGTCGTGGGGAAGGAGAGAGAAAGGGGCCCGGGAGCGGGGCTGTGCGCTCCGCCGGGCCACAATGCACACCCCTGCCCGGGGTTCCGGACCTTCGGCGGACGAGCCGCAGCCCCAGCCCGGACCCGGGCTGCTTGTCCGGGGGAACCCCTGCAGCCGCGTCCTGTCGCGGGGGCTGAGGGTCTCTTTCTGCCCGGAGGCACCCGGGAGGAGGGTCTTTGTACGTATTTTGGCTTTTAAAAATGTTTGAGATGCTTTAAATGTCGGCCTCCTCTCTTGAAGCCCCCACCTTTTCCGTGTCTCTTAGGTGAACTTTTAGAGCCTCCTTACTAAATATATATATATATATATATATATCTTTTCTTTTCTTTTCTTTTCTTTTCTTTTCTTTTCTTTTCTCGGGCCTTGTTACTACTAATAATTGGCTTCCGTTGGGGGATATAATGATCCTGGGTGAGAGCGCAGTTGGAAAGTGACTCCGAGGTGCTTAGGTCGAGCTGAAACGCATTGGGATTCTTCTCAGCTTCGGCCCATTATAAAATAGAAACGTTGCCCTTATAACCCCTGGTCGTCAGGACTTGCCCCTATTTTCGGAGCATGCAAGTGTACAGTTGGCACTAAGTAGGAGAGTCCTACTGGTGTGAAGAGGAGCCTGTCCTGGAACCGAAGTTATCATTTGCTGCGCTCCCCTGGGGACTGCTTGCACTTTGGTAAATAACAGGGGCTATTTTATTCTAGATCATTTACTCGGAGGATCGCATCAATTAATTAGATGGCCCTGTGGTGGTTTGTGTCTTTTTTTTTTTTTTTAATTGGCCTGTGAAGCTGTCACGTACACTGTGACTTTTATTTTGTGACAGTTCACTAAGGTTTTTGATTGGCCCTCAAGATTTCAGCAGCTCTTCTCAAACTTATCAGTGTTTGAAGTGGTGATGAGTCTGGTGCTATTGAGCATTTACTAGCAGAGGAATTTAAGCACGGATCGATGCAGTGGCTGTGGCTTTGATTTCGTTAAAATTCTCACTTATGTTAGTGGTAAATTCTTTCCGGGCAGAAGAGCTCTTGAATCTGTGGAGATTTTTAGGTTTTAATTTAACAAGCTAAACTTTTGCTAAGCTTCCAAAACTTGTTAAAGTTTACGGGGCACAATAGTAACTCATGACCTTGCACAAATGAGCCCAGTGTGCCATTTTTCTGTGTGTATTTTTATTTTGGATGAATGTGATTGACTTTTTTTGTTGTTGAGGAGGAGGAGGAGCAGTTTTTTTTTCTTTAGTTACTCTTCTGCAGGATTATTACGTTTGCATGTTATATCTACTTAATCGTGACTCACTGTAAGCATATCCCAAACTATTTTCGCATGTGACCCCCAGAAAGACAGTGCTCACTTAATTTTCTTGGCAGAGAATTTAATGCACTGTTATCTCTTTGCGAGGTTTAATAAGTGTGTGTTTATTTCATTATAGTATACTGTTTGTTGAAAGGGGATTTTGCTATAGCTGTGAGAAACATATTTAACATAAGAATATGTACCTTTTTTTTTAAGGCAGTAAGTTAGTAGAATTAAATGAGAGTCCACTGATTGGTTAAAGTCTTGGGGAAATCTAAACCCATAACTTGGGATACTTCTGGTTGCCTGGTTTTATTTCTTGGAAGATGAGAGTGTGATGTAAATTCCATTTGTTTATTTTAACAACAAGTTTGAGCCTAGAGTTGGGTTTGTTCCTTCATGGTTTAGAGAAGTTGCACTTGAAGCATTAATTTTTAGTATGATGTTATGTAACAGACCTAAAAGAGTTAATAGTTTAAACTGCCTCATTTCTAATAGCAAAGTTTCCTCTCATTTTAAATGTAGCGTACTCATGGTATCAGGTGGTCTTTGAATTTAACAGTACTTGACTATGGGTTCATATTATTTGAACTAAAATGGTCTTTTGATGTGAAAGATTATTATTCATATTTTAGATTCTTTTCATTCCTAGATAATGTCATTCTCTGTTATAAAAGTGGCATTAGTTAACCTTGGACTCTAAGGAGAACAATGTGATTAATTTGTTGCCTCAAGATAATTTTTTTTTTTTTTTTTTTTTTTTTTTTTTTTTTTGGACAGAGGCGTTAACATTGAAAAGTTAACATTGGGATGATGGGATGATGAGAATTTGGGAGACCTTTTGTTAAATCATAATCTGAAGGCCAGGGAATAATGCTATTATCATCTGCATCCCTATCCTTACCATGGTAGGGCAAAGTGTAATGGAAAGATTTGGGGATTTTGACACTTAAATCTTGGGTTCAAAGTCTATGCTTCTCTACTTAATAACTTTTGTGATTCTGGGTCTAGTCAATTTCTCTGGGCCTCATTTTCTTTACTTGTAAAATGTAGGTAGTAATACTGATCTGATTTGCATGTTTAACAGGCATTTTAAATGAAATGATGAGTATCAGTGATTTGCTAATGTTATTTTCGTTATTTTTTATTGTGGACGTATCCTCAAATGCTAGGAATTTGAGATTTAACTTGTATAAGATGTATGGATTCTTACAGAAGAGATCGTGATCATTCTGGTCTAACTGCTTCTTTTGCAAGTGGGATACTCAGGTTCAGAGAGATTATAATTTGATCAAGCTCCTACAGCTAATTAATGGTAGAGGGATAGTAGGGATTTATTGATACTGATTTCTTGTTCATTCTTTTAGCAAATATGTTTGGAATACCTAGTGTGTATCGGGCTCTGGTGTAGTGGTGAGTGAAATAGACATGTCCCTGTTCTAATGACCTTACAATCTGGGTTTCCCTCCTTTACTATTTTCTTAGTTCCATACAGGTACTGATTACAAAAGATTATATTTCTGATTTTCTAGAGGAAATATTATCAGAATATAAATTTTGGAATACCATGTGTGTATAATCTGCGAATGCTTCATCTCAGGTTGAGGTTTTGTTGTTTCATAAACATTTTTTGCTACTTAGTTTTTAAAAAAGTATTATTAGTTTTGATGGGATGGGGAAAATACTGTACAAGCAAGCCAGTAGTGTTTTCCGTGTTGTCTTTTGTAGAAGTGGTCCTTGGAAAAGCTTTTTCTTTAATATCAAATATAACAAGTTTTCGAGGAGGTAGAAAGAATTTTGGAGTGGGAATCAGGAGAATTAGGTTCTGATTCTAACTTTGTCATTAGCTAGCTGTGTTGTGACCTGGATAAGTCACTTAAAAACTCTGTACATCTTATTTTCATGAAGATAATGAATCCTTCTTTAGGTGATGCATAATTCATATTAATATGTTAAGGGCTCTGAGAGAATGTAGAAAAGACCAATTTTAATTTTGTTTAACCCACTATTTCCCAAACTTTAATATTTTTTCCATAAATCCTTTTAACATTCTACTGAACCTTTGATCCAAGCAACACACTTGGAGAGAGCTGGACTGGATGACCCTTTGAGCATTAGGTTGATTAGTGTGATTGAGATTTGGTAATTTTGTATAGTTGAATTTGATACTTTCCTTCCTACTTATTTGGCTTTAGGTTTCCTTATCTGGCTGGGGAATAATTTCATTGGTTATGAGTAAACTTTCTGTGAGTAAAATTTCAGCTCCTTGTTATCATGAAGCCTAACAGTGATTTCCCATAGTTTGGTTTTTCAGAGACTTTTTTGTTTTGCTTTAATTGGACGTTTTTCCATTTGCTGAACTGAAGTATTCTTTCCATACAATTATACATGCTTTGGCTATCAGAACTATCTTTTTTTGAATATCAAAGAAGATTGTGTGGAAGATTTTCCATATAAATAGAAAATATTTTATGTAAGTTTATAATTTGAACATACCGGAAAAACAACACAGTAACCTGTTTAGGTCATTGGTAAATATTCTTGAAAAAATTCAGTTTCATAATGGAAATTTCATTGCAAGTTTATATTCAGAGAAGGTTATAAAGTGGGGGCACTACAGCAGGAAGGTACGACTTTGTTGATAAACCAAGTTCAGATCTTCTACTATTTTATGTACCCTTGGACAAGTTACATA